GACTATTTTAAAGCTTTTTAAGGTTTTAGTGCTCTAGACAGGGAAGAAATCATTCAAAACTGGTAACTATTCTACATGCACAAGCTGAGCTTAAATACTGTATAGGGTTAAAAGATTAGATGCATAGTTGGACACACATAGTTGAATATATCAAGTATGACTTCCTAGTCTTTTATCAGTACCATTATACTAAAGGTAAATTTAATGGTTTATGAAAATAATTATTTTTAAGATTTTAATTTTAAATAACTTTACCCCAAAAGAAACAAGACACTGAAGACTAAAGTAATATTAATTTACAAGCCAAAATTTACAAAGATCAAAAAATTTTGCAAATTAAATATTATTCTACTTTATTTTTGGAATATTTTGTACAAACTAATAAATACAGTTGAAATGTTTTCATCTGCCTGGGGAATCCCTTTTTGTCCCATCTCTTTCCATTATTCTTATAACTAGCAAATTACTTAAAACATAGACTGGATTTTGATGTTAATTAAGGATTAAGAGCAAGAATACTATGATCATGATCCATCTTTCATAATCATGAATTTCTAAGAATAAGAAATCATTTCAATTATGACACTGAAAAGAATATTTATTCCATCATAATTTCCATAATTTTATATTATATCATCTCAATTGAAAATCATTAAGCCCCTTAACACAATCTAAAGTTATTTTTTAAAAGACTAATTATGAAATATGGTGGAAACCAATGGTACATTCATGAGAATTGCAAGCAGTACATACATATTTAGCCTAGAAAAATAGATGGCTATACAGATGGATATAAAGCCAATCCTGACATCTCTTGGAAGTTTGCTTTTTAGAATAAGCTTTTTACCTGCTCTATTTTGTTTTGTTTTGCTAGTTGTTTGAGCTTCCTGGTTATTTGGATTCTAGATACATAGGAGTAATCTATATTCAGCGCTAAAAACCTATCATTATCTCCCATAGTCAGAGAGTCTCATACTTGGTGTAAAAGCAAAACACTCTTTGCAACTACAGTAAAATCTCTACCAAGTGCAAGATTTGTAAACAAAAAACCATCCTTCTTCAATAATACCTGTTAATGATGGATGGAACCCCATGTGATCTTTGAATTCTTAAATCTGTTGCATTTATCACCTATTTGGGCTTGATAGGTTAGCTTTGGTATCTCATATCTGTGGTGTATAAACTCCCTGAAGTTTCCATATTTATTTTCATATAAGTAAAGGAAGTGAATACTGTCTTATGAGCACCAGCTCTCTCTCGTTGGCACTAAGCAGGACATCACAAGGAATTCAAAAGAAGTGTGAGAAAGCGTCTGTCCTCAGGAAAGTTATGACATTTCATGAAGAAGCAAAGATTATGTGTCTGGGAAAATTTTTGAACACAATACAAGACATAATGTAATAAATAAAAAGAAATGGCATTTTCAACAAGAGTTATAACAGGTAGTCTGAAAGACAAGAAAATAATATGAGCTTTATATTATAGAAAGAGGCAGTGATGGAAGAGAATTCTTGAAGGATGTATGAATTTTGCATACATGGAGAATAAAGAGTTTGGGATGGTGAAAGGGAAGAAAAGAGGTGCCATTTCAAGAGACCAAGGAAGAATACAATCTCGTGATATTATATAATAATGCCAAAACATGATTCTTTGAGTAAAGACACAGAGTTCTAGCTAGAAGAGTGATTCATATCTACAGTTGTTCATTTCCTAGTCTCAGTTATATCAACTAATTTTTCTGAAAGTGTTGATTGCCTCCGTTTATTCATATCATAAAGGAATATTTGTCCCCTAAATCATTTTTCCCTTCTAATTCAGTAGTAATAGATTTTTAGCTGGGCACATGGCTATCCAGCTAATACAAGATTTCTTTGCATTTAGGTGTAGCCATGTATCAAAGTTCCAGCCAAATGGATTGTGAGTGGATGCGATGTGCACCCCTCATAGATCTTACCCTTAAGATAACTGGACATGTACTCCCCTACTCTCTTTTCTCCATCCCATTGGCTGGGAAATGACAAGAGCTGGACCATCTACTTTAGACTCAGGGGGGAAGCCGTATGATAAGAATAGCAGAGCCACCTACCTGCTTCATAGCACTACCTATCTATAAATTCTCATGAGCTTCTGTGTAAGCCTAAATGTTTTGGAGTCTCTTTGTCACAGCAGCTTATCCTACACACTTTCCAGTATAATCTTTCCATTGCTCCAGTCTATTACCTTTTACTGTGTTTCCTGTGACCCTTTTACTGCTTTTTCTGTTATCTACCTCTAGACAACTTTCACGTGTTGCTGCCACTCATCTTTTTCCTAATTCTCATAGTTGTTTACATAAACTCATTTCCTGTTTTTTCCTTCCTTCCCTCCCCTAATATTCACCCACTGCTTAACCAATGATCACCTTCCCTAAGTTCTTCAAGAAATGCTCTTGGAAGCAATGGTGTTAGCTCTTCAGAAATATTGGCATTAAAATGATCGAAGTTTTTTAAAAAAAATCTCCAGAGCCATGCCTGGAGTGCACAGTGTTCTGCAAAAATAGTTTTTGTGAGGCACTTGTCTATGAAAAAATGTAATTTTAGAATATATTACCTAAAATTTATAGGCCCACACATGGTATAGTGATTTATTGATAAATATTTGGCATAATGGATAGGGAAGAGATACTTACACATTTGTTTATTGCTCAGTCGGTGCATATGAAGATTCTTCATAGGGCCCAGACCCCATCTCAGGTTCAGAAACCATCTCTTTGTGTTCTTTATCATCAAGTGTGGATTTATTGGCTAATTTCATATCCCTCTCCTTCCTCCCTTCAAGAAGTCCCAGTACTATGGCTATTGGTAGCTATTTGTATTGATATAGCATAAACCTTCCTGCCTGTGCAGTTCCTTATACCATGATGCAATGCTATCTACATGATTACTCATGACACTGTAGCATCCGTCACGCCAGCCATGAATGACAGCTTGCAATGACTCCCTCAAATGTCATTACTGGGCTCCACTTATGATGACCAAATGCAAGTCTTATCCAGAGTATGCTGGAAAATGTAAATGATAATTTGTTTTTTGATCATGTTAAATTTATTTTTAGGAATTTTATAGCATAATCAGACCAACACAAGTCCAATCATATATCTTTTGAACTCTATCAGCTACAATCATTACATTCTAGAATATGATTTTTTTCTAATGTTAACCATACCCTCATCCTTACCACCAATGGGAAGGATAGATGAGGGCCCAGTGAGCAAAGTGAAATGATCAGTCTCATTTGCACAAAGAATTTTCATCCTTCTTTCTGCATGGCTTAAGATCAACAGGAGAGTATGTCACATTGATCAGAGGCGAGAGAGGACATAGATCCAAATGGCAAGTTAAGGTATCAGAGCAGTAATCACTAAAGCCCTCAGAAAAGATAGGTGTAGGTGTGGCCACCCCCAGAGAACTGCCAAACAGACAAGTGGCTCAGAGTCTGCAGACAAGGTGGGAGTCTGCAGACTGCCTTGGAAGCTGGTGGAGAGTTACATAGGATAAAGCAAATCTGCTGCCATGCCCCACCCAAGGGTGCTATAGAGCAGAGGTGGTGCTATCATCAGAACATGTATAGGAGAAAACCAACACATAGTTATGTACACACAGCTCAATCCCAAGGATAGGCAATGAACCATCCAAAGTGCAGAGCCCTGAACTTGTCCTGTGTCTGACATGAGTAAGAGTCACCCAAAATCATTATGTCAGTACCATTCTTGAGGCCCAGTGTCCATACCATACCACAAAAGAAATATCACGCTGGCCAGCAGGAATGATCTACCCAGAGGCAACCATCTGGACCCAGAGCTTTTCATGGTATCTAACTGCACCCAATGAGTAGAGCTTAAAAGAGAGGCCTGAAGGGGAGAAATGGGGACAGGACCCACACTGTTCCAGTCTGGTTTTAGAGCATCCCAGTCTTAGAAAATTTCAAAGCATGTACTTCAAAGTGCAGAGTCTCCTGAGGCCTGGGATCTGGGGTAGGGATTGCCTAGTGTAAGCTGGTTCTGTGTGTCTACTCAGGGAATTGTGGAATGGATTTTAACTATCACTGCTCAGAACAGGTCCAAAGAAATTAGCAGTTATGAGGAAGTCAGAGATATTCTTCCAAAAGTATTTCCTCTTCAGAAATATTTCCCCAAAGGTATATAGATAATCTATTATGTGTCATATTTTAGTTTTGTGTCAATCAAAGGTCCCAGAAAACATGATAAAAAAGAAGAACAAACAACTGAGAAAGAAAGAACAACACAATAGAGGTTCCACATGAAAAGGACAGGAGCAGTTAGCTAGGGAAAAGAAATGATGATGTATGAGAGCACTGAAGTATGGGGAAAAAATGAATACCAATAGTAAGTCCACAATATAATAAAATAAGAAGGATTCTTTGTCTAAAGTCAGTCTTGGGTAACACCATCCAACACATTTTCATCATCTACGTTTATGCTGCTAGGTGCCAGGGTTCTAAGGAACTGAGACAGTTTCTATCCTTGAGGATTCCCAGTTTGGTGAGAAGGATAGATCAGTGGAACAGGTACCAGTGACTCAGGTGATCAGGGAAATCATGGGGTTTATAGAAATTACTGAGAGAATTGACCACAGACGTTGATTCTTCCTGAGGTATTGGGAGAGTCAACAAAGAGGAAATGGGAATTTGGTTCCCCAGGACTCAGAACAGAGTTTGGCCTATAGGACACATTCTGCTACTTACTAAATGAATGAATAAGCTAACCTGGACTACAGGAGCCACCCTTAACAAGATTTTACTTTCTGCAGTCTCAGTTATCTGTAATCAACCACAGTTTGAACATATTAAATGGAAAATTCCAGTGGAGACAGTTAAGAATTTTGAGATAGGGAGATTATCCCAAATTATCTGGGTGGGCCCTAAATATAATCACAAGTGTCCTTATGAGAGAGAAGCAGAGGGAATTTGACACTACAGAAAGGTAATGTGACCACTAAAGGAAAGATTGGAGTGGGGAGCCTACAAACCAAGGGATGCTGGCAGCCACCAGAAGCTAAGAGGTAAGAAATGTAGTGTCCCCCAGAGCCTCCAGAGGGAGTACAGCCCCACGAACACCTTGGTTTCAGCTCAGAGATACTGGTTTCAGATTTCTGGCATCCAGAACTATGAGAGAATAAATTTCTGTTGTTTTTAGCCACCAAGTTTGTGGCTATTGTTACAGCAGTCACGGGAAACTAATATATAATTTTCAAATAAGTTATAAAGACAAAAAGCAATGGCTTCTCAAGCCCGTAATACAAAGCGAGACGACACAAGATCTGGAAAATGGGCTACACATCTACTCGCCATCAAATTGGTACTGACTGACTAAAACTAGGGTGCTCAAAAAACAGTAGTGTTCAACAGAGATTTGAGGTGGGGGAGATCCACATCTAAGGAAGTGGCGAACATTGTGGGGGGAAGGGATTACCTCTATCCCTTTTTAGGAAGAGGTAACGATATATATTGTAACCAAAATGTCTGAAAAAAAAAATCAGTAATCGGGAAGTGGGCAGGTGGAAGGGGGTGGAGGGGAAGGGTATGTACTTACACGGTGGGTGTGGTGGGCACCACCTGGACACACTAGAAGCTCTGGCATAGTGGGGTGGGGGACAGGGGCAAGACATATAACCCTAACAATATCTGTACCCTCATAATATGAAGTAATAAAAAAAAGAAGTAAGTTTATGAGTATAAAAATAGAGGACATTTTATAATTCATATTAGTATTCCTCTTCAGCTAGTGTTTTTTACTATAGATGGTTTTGGGATGTTTTTCCTTCATTTCATTTTACAAAAAACAGTTGTAAAGTTGTAATCAAACTACATTTAAAATTTCTATGTCCTGTTTTTCTTTAAAACTAACTTATAATATTGGCATTGCTTTTTTGCAACCTCATAATTGTCATAGTCATCATTCTTAGTAACTGCATATAATTTCATAAAAGAGGGGCTTCAAGATGGTAGCTAGAAGCATCTGGCACCCACCTCTTTTCACAAAGAACAACCAAAATAGTGAGTAAATTATCACACTTCAAATAGATCCCCTAAAACAGAGTACTGGATTTCAACAGAAAAATGACAAGAAACACCAAAAGCAAGAAAGGAGAGGGAAGTGAGGCAATCTGCTAAGCTAGGATTGGCTAGAAGCCTGGAGAGGCTCCCCATTGTGGGGAAAGTATAAGTGAGAGACCCCTAGCAACCTGCATTCCTATCATGGACTCCTGCAATCCTAGCCATGAGAGAGCCCCTCAACTCTCATAGGCTCTGAGGCTAATAATATGGGGAGATGCCTGGAAACCACATGACAGCACTGTTCCAGGAAGGAGCTCACTCAGGCTCCCACATACCCGAAAGTCCTAAGTACCTAAAACATGGTGCATTTTGATAGCCAAACACCTACCAGACTACAAATCCTGCCCTGGGGCCCAAGAGTCACTGCATTTCCACATCCATGGAGCCCCAGTGATATCCTCCACCTGTAGCCATTACCACTGCTGCCAGGACTGAAGTGTAAGCCATTGGCAGCAACTCCACTGTCCCCAGCAGCAGAGCCATACTCATTTTCATGCGCCCCAAGGACAGAATAACACACACAGATGTCACCACTCCTGGCTGCTGCCACCTGTACCAAAGCACAAGCCATTGGAGGCAACCACACCACCACTAGAAAAGGGGGATGTGCATTTGCTTGTCCTCTGAAGACAAGCTACCCCCCCCCCCATAGCCACTACCTGGGGCCGAAACTCATGCTCCCCAGCTGCCTGCTTATGGCTGCTGCCAATGAAAGTGGCTCCACCATCCCCAGGAGCCGGGCTGTAGCACAGCAACTGCCTCTCTCACCTGAGAAATCTCCTGGGGGACTAGGGATTATCCATCCCCTGCCTATCTCAGCCAGTGACTGCATGCACCAGCAGAAGGACCCTGGGAACAGTTCTGTTCAAACTGGCTCCACTCGCTTCAGTGTCTGAGCACAGCACCTAGGGACGTGGGGATTGTCAAGCCAAGCCAACCACCACTGGTACCTGAGCACTCCTCCCAGGAGCCTGAGGTTAGGCCCATTCAATCTGCCACTACTACCACAACTGGCACACACACATACACAGACACCACTTGCAGGCCAAGGGACTGGCTTGCTCAGTTCATTGCAGCCACTGCCAACACCAGTGTGTACAGCTTGGGAACCAAAAAGTTGTCCAGCCACTGCTACTGCCATTGCCAATATCATGCCTGCTGACTAGGGGCCCAAGGACCTTCCCACTTGCCAGGCCCACTGCTGCCATCGCTAGCACCCAAGCAAGCCACTTGGAGGCACAAGAATCATTCCACCTAGGCCCGCTAACACTGATGCCAGCATATACTATTCTGGGACCTAATGACAGGCACACTTGGCCCACTTCTGCCACAACTGAGGCCCAAGGACTGGTACACTTGGCATCCCTGTCCCCAGCAAAACTTCACAATAGTCTCTAATAATAACCACATCCTAATCCACTGAGGAGATCACAGACATCACTGATGCTATTTACAGCCAAAAATTATATAGAAACTACACTACTGCACACACCCAGAATCAAAGCCAAAGTGCCCTACCTACCCAACACCATTTTTTGAATTTGAAGCAAATTCAAAAAATTAGAATAAGTGACTGTTACACCAAATACATAGATATAAATAAGAAGTGTGAAAAAGCAAGGAAATATGACACCTCCAAAGAAATACAATAATTCTCCAGCAACAGATTTCAATAAAAATTAAATTTATAAAATACCAAGAAAAAATATCAAATAAGCTCAGTGAGATACAAACGAATACAAATAAATAATACAAAGAAACCAGAAAGACAATTCAAAGTATGAATGAGAAATTTACCAAAGAGATAGAGATTATAAAAAGAACCAAACAGAAGTCTTAGAACTTGAATGAACTAAATTAAAATTTGATTAATTAAATTAAATTAGAATTTGATGAACTAAATTAAAAAAAATACATTTTAGAGCTTCAACAGTAGACTAGATCAACCAGAAGAAACAATTTCTGAACTTAAAGACAAGTCTTTTGAAATAACAGGCAAAAATAAAGAAAAAAGAATAAATAAAGACTATGTGATATATGGAACACCATAAAATGACCAAATATACAAATTTTTGTATTGTTTGGTGTTTTTCGGGGGGGGGGGAAGGGATAGAAAACCTATTTAATGAAATAATAGCTGAAAGCTTCCCAAGAGAGAGATTTAGACATCTAGATTCAAGAAGCTCAGAGATCCTCAAATAGATACAGTTCAAATAGATACAAATAGATACAATTCAAAAAGTTTTTCTCCATGGCACATTATAGTCAAATTGTCAAAAGTCAAAGACAAAGAATATTTTAAAAACAGCAGGAAAAAAGTGTCCAGTCACTTGTAAGGGAACCCTTAGAAGACTAACAGCAGATTTCTCAGCAAAAACCTTACAGGCCAGGAGAGAATAGGATGAAAATGCTGAAAGAAAAAATCTGCCAGACAAAGATACTATCCCCAGAAAAGTTATCCTTCATAAATGAAGGAGAACCAAAATCCTTCACAGACAAGCAAAAACTGAGGGAATTCATTACCACTAGACCAGCCCTTCAAGAAATGCTTAACGGAGTCCTATGCCTGGAAGCAAAAGGATAATATCTACCATCATGATAGCACATTAAAGTATAAAGCCCACTGGTAAGAAAAACACACAAATAAGGAAGAGAAAAGACTCAAATGTTACCACTATAGAAAACCACCAAACTACAATGATTAAAATAAAATAAAAAGGAAGGAAAAAAGGATTTCCAAAACAATCATAAAACAACTGAGATCTGAAAAATAAAGTCAATACTTTATAGGATATAAAATCAACATACAAAAATCAGTATTATTTCTAGACACAAATAATGACCTAGTTGAGAAAGAAATCAAGAAGGCAATCCCATTTACAATAGCTACCAAAAATATTAAATACCTAGGAATAAATTCAACCAAGGAGGTGAAAGACCTTCACAAGGGAAACTACAAAACACTGATGAAATAAATTGAAGAGGACACAAACAAACAGAAAGAGATCCCATGTTTATGGACAAGAAAAATTATTATCATTAAGATGAAGATACTTCCCAAAGAAATCTGTAGATTTAATGCAATCCCTATCAAAATGCCCATGTCATTTTCACAGAAATAGAAAAAGCAATACTAAAATTCATATAAAACCAAAAAAGAGCCCAAATAGCCAAAGCAATCTTAAACAAAAAAACAAATCTAGCATCACACTACCTAACTTCAAAATATATTACAAGTCTGTTTTAACAAAAACAGAATGGTATGGCCAATAGGTATACTAAAAAATACTCAGCATCATTGATCATCAGGGAAATAATCTAAAGGACAATGATATATCCTCTTACCCAAGTTAGAATAGTTATTATTAAAAAGATAAAAATACCACATGCTGGTAAAGATGCACAGAAAAGGGAACTCTGTGGAAGTGTAAATTAGTACAGACACTACGGAAAACATTATGTAGATTTCTCAACAAAGTGAAAATAGACCTACCATACAATCCAACAATATCACTGCTGGGCATTTATCCAAAGGAAAAGAAATTATATATTGTATATTAAAGGGATACCTGCACTCACATTTATTGCAGCACTATTCACAACAGCAAAGATAGGGAATCAACCTCTGTGTCCATCAACAAAGAATGGATAAAGAAAATATGGTATATATACACAATGGAATATTATTTGCCCATAAGAAGAATGAAATCCTGTCATTTGCAGCAACATGAATGGAACTGGAGGTCATTATTTAAGTGGAATAAGCCAGGCACAGAAAGACAAATACCACATGTTCTCACTCACATGTGGGAGCTAAAAAAGCTGATCTCACAGAGGAAGAGAATAGATCGCAGATGCTGGGAAGAGTGTATGGGTGGGGGGCAGGGAATGACAAGAGGTTGGTTAATGGATACAAACATACAGTTAAATGGAAGAAATGCTAATG